TTGTCGAACAACATTGCTAAACTTTCCAAACCAAGCCCTAGGAGACTGCTTTTAGGCCATATAGGGATTTGCGAAGACGACATACCATCCCGTAAGACTCCCCGAGCAACAAACCCAGGAGGTTGCTCCATATAGATTTCTTCTTGCAAATCACCATTGAGGAAAGCATTTTTAACATCTAGTTGATAAAGAGACCATTGTTGAAGAGCGGCCATGGCGATAAATAAACAAACGAAGTCATCTTTGCCACTGGGGAAAAGGTATCTCCATAATCCAACCCAAAAATTTGAGTATAACCTTTGGCCACAAGACGAGCTTTGAGGCGATCAATAGTACCATCGAGTCCAACTTTGATAGCAAACACCCACCCGCAACCAACAACAGATTTCCCGGACTGTAACGAGACCAATTCCCAAGTTCCACTATTATGAAGAGCACTTAATTCATCTAACATGGCCTCGACGCCAACCAGGATGGGCTAAAGCTTCATGGACAGCTTTTGGAATGGTCACGGACGAAAGAGAGGAAAGACATGTATAAAAAGATAATGACAATCGATGATAACTCAAACCAATATAATGGGGAGAGGGATTACGTGTAGAACGGATACCTTTTCGGAGGGCAATGGGAAGGTCGGACTCGGGTGTCACATCCGGAGGAGACAGAGTAATTGGCACTTGAGTGGAGTCACATGGTGGTGGTTGTGATTGGTTTGGGCAACTATAAATCGAAGAGGCAAGTGAAGAAGAAGCCGATCATGGAGCGTAAACTAATGGTGAATAAGACACAGCTAGAGGGTCACAAACAACAGGAACATTAAATGTACTAGGAGTGTTGACAAGATTGGATGAAGACAGAGGTGAAGATTGACTTTTAAAATAAAAAGAGAACTCATCAAAGGTGACATCTCGCAGACACAAAATAACGGTTAAGAGAAGGAGAAAAACATTTGTATCCTTTTTGTGATCGTGTAAACCCTAAGAAAACACATTTATGTGATCTAGGAGAAAGTTTGTCAAGACCAGAACTCGAAATTATGAACAAAACATGTAGACTCGAAAACTCTTAGAGGTAAGTGGATGAAGTGGTTCATGAGGAAATAAAATAGAATGAGGTATTTTATTATCTAAAACCGAAGATGGCATGCGATTAACGAGATAACATGCAGTAAGAAGAGCATCACCCCAAAAATGCCGAGGAACCTCTCCATGAATTAAAAGAGTGCGAGTTGTTTCAATAAGATGTCTATTTTTACGTTCGACTACACCATTTTGTTGAGGTGTATAAGCACAAGAAGTTTGATGCAAAATACCATGAGAAGCCAAAAATTGTTTAAAAGAATGAGAAAGATATTCACGACCATTATCATCGCGCAGAAACTCTAATAGAAACACCGAACCGAGTTTGTATTTCATTAAAAAAAGATTGAAAGATATCAAATACTTCGAACGATTTTTCATTAAAAATAACCAAGTACATCCGGAATAATCATCAATGAAAGTAACAAAGTATTGAAAACCTAAAGTAGACTTAACGCGGCTAGGTCCCCAAATGTCGAGTGAACCACGGCAAAAGGGGACGAAGCACCACGTGTGACACTACGAGGAAAGGAAGTACGACTATGCTTGCCTAATTGACACGACTCACATGCCAAACTAGACAACTTAGATAAGGCAGGGACAAGTCGCCGTAACTTGGCAAGACTTGGATGACCTAACCGAGCATGGAGAAGAGAGGGAGACTCTATAACCGCACCAACATGTGTAAAGGGACGAAGATGATAAAGACCATGAGACTCACATCCCGTGCCAATCACCTGTTTCGAACTCCGATCCCGTAAACACACAGAATTGTTGGTAAAAGAAACAACACAATCAAGAGAACGAGTTAGACGACCGATGGATAACAAGTTAAAAGGAGACCCAGGGACATAAAGAACATTATCAATTGTTAAAGAAGGGAAAAGTTTAACAGCTCCAACACCATGAGATGATACTCTAGAGCCATCACCAAAGGTAACGTAAGGTAAAGGATTAGGAGAGGATAAAGAGGAGAACAAAGATTTGTTACCAGTAATATGATCAAGTGGCTCCTCGAATCAAAAACCCAAGGACCGGAAGAAGATTGGGTCGACCAACAAAAGATGTACCGTGTGTGCGACGGACACAAGTGGAACTAGAAGACTCGTTGATCCTTATACCATTTGAGAAATTTGTTGAACATAGCAGGTGTGTCTCGATGAAATAGAAGAAGGAGGATCCTTAGCGGATAAAGGTGGAGAAAGATCAGTCCGAACAACTGCAGCAGATCGAGGAGGACGACCATGTAATGCATAACACTTGTCAATCTTGTGACCTAGCTTACCACAATGTTCACACTCATGTAATGCATAACACCGATCAATCTTGTGACCTAGCTTGCCACAATGTTCACACTTAGGACGCCCTTTTCCCCGTTTACGAGGGCGAGTTCGGCCATCACTGTGAGATACCAATGCGTAAGAATCATTAACGTAGCAGTGTGTGTCGTGGTTGGGTTTTGCTGGTAAACGCAAAAGAGTGGAGCAGGTCGATGTCAAGGTGGGGACAACCGGAGAACCCAAAATCTGATCACGAATATGTGAATATTGATCAGCAAGTCCGTGTAATGCCCCTAGCATGAAGAACTTTGATCGTTGTGCTATCTCGTAGTGGTGGTCTGGGGAAGGAGGCAATAACTCATTGAACTCATGAAAAAGAGCATGAATTTTGCCCATATAATCAGTCATAGAATCTTGATGTTTAGAGGCAATAACATCTACAAATTTAGAACAGTACATCATAGAGACGTTGAGTATCATTGGTGTATAATAACTTGGCATGTTCCTGCATTTTGGCACATGTTTCGTAGGAACGAAAAATTTGTTTTAACGAAGGATCAAGAGTACCCTTGAGAACCACACATAATTGAGCATCAATGGTGTCCCAACGATCTTCCTCACCAGGAGTGAGAGTAGGTGCTTTCGGGCAAGATGATCAAGATAATTCCGACTCTTAAGCCATAATCTGACGTCCGATGACCATGTGGCATAATTAGGGCCGCTTAACTTGTCAATGGATAAGTGCACATTAACATAGTTAGTGTAGATGGAAGGATCGACGCAGTATTAACGTAATTGGAAGTACTAAAAGGAGCAGAAGAAGTCATAAAGGGTGGAGGTGATAGTGACAGCGGCGTGAACTAGTACACCAGGTAAGTTCCCGTGAAAGAGAGGTGGGTCACTAATGGACACGCTTAAATACCAAGTCTTTCCTTGTCGAACTTTCCTAGACATGCACTTTCACACTACCAAATAAACGACAAGCAATAGCGGTGGTGGCGGCGGCGGCGATGGTGGCGGCTTCAATAGTAATCAAAGGCGAAAAAAATTTCAAAATAACCTTAAGCTCTAGATACCATGTTGAATATAGAAGAAATAGAGTTTGGGAATAATCTCCTTGTGTATAAATCACACATAGGGTAGTCTATTTATAGTAGAGAGATACAACTAAAAGAGTAATCGAAAGTAATGAATAAACAGAAGATATTGTTAGATATTATGGTTAATATCTAACAATATCTTAACAATATTAAATAATATCTAAACAATATCTAACATGGGTGAAGAACTTGGTCTATTCCAAGAATGATTATTCCAATAACGGTTGTTAGACTAAAAAACTTAATGATATTAATGAAATTGTACATGTCATGTTAGTGATTAATAAACCTACTTCTTAAAGTAGTACATTTTATATTGCAAAGTAATAAAACAAGCTCCTGAGATAATAAAAAAACAGCCTCTTAAATAAGCAATAAAAGTTATTTTGGTAGAATAAAATAATCTACAAATGAAGAGTTATTTTATCAAACAGTTTAAATTATTTCAGTAGGTAATAAACAATAGAGAAACAGAGGAATTATAAAGAAATTAGAGTAAGTATTATTGAAAGGATGAGGTAGCACCCTATTTATTACTTTAACTTTAAACTTAATTTTTCTCACCTAGAAGTAGTTTATTTGAATAACTAAACGTCCAAAATTTATGTCAAACTTAATTTATCTAAAGTTAACATAATTCACCGGCAATAAACCATAGATAGAGGAAGTAAATGAATTAGAAGGCCTAATAATTGATTATTTTAGGGTGGCACAAACTGTAGAATGTAGACCATTTTTTTGCAAGGCTTTGGAACTAGGACCACATTTCCCAACTCCATAGTAATTAATTTCCGATAAATAAATTAAAGAAAATATAATAGAATTAGAGAGGAAATTACGTGTTTGTTTTTATGACTAAATAAGTTAAATTATATGCTAAATAAATTAGTTTGTTTTAAATGTAAAATATTTTTATTATTTTTTATATAAAAGTGTTGAAATTAAAATGAATCAATAAAATAAAATAAATATTTATATTATCTCTTTTCTCTAGTTTCCTCGGGAATTTAAGTAAAAGAGGTAGTTTATTGCTAAAAAGGAACTAAACTGATAAGATATGTTTTTCTATTTTTAATTTTTAAAAAAACTGCAACATCATATTGTTAATTTTCGTTACGTATAATTGTAGAAGTAATCCGTTCAGATATGCAGCAAATTTTCGTCGACATTTAAAAAAATATATTATTTAAAATATTACTAAAATTATTTTTAAAAACTAAAAAGTAAAAATTAAAGACATAAAAACAAATAATTCAAAGTATTTCAAAATCTACACACACAATGTGTAAAGATTAGCCATAGATGAATTAAAAAATGTGTATTAAGATAATAAGGATATTGAAAAAATAAAATAAAATTGAAGAGTAAAAATATTAAAAAGAGAAAAAACAAAAAATGGGAGGAGGAAAAGTTTGATAACGTAACCCGTTACCACCACTTTCACTCCCCTGTCTATATATGCCATCCCAGAACCACTCCACACAATTTTTTCTATTCGCTAAAACAGAGCAAAACAAAAAGAGATACACAGAAATTGTTGAATGATGCAGACAGAGCAACCACAGTCTTCTCCAAGTTTCAGCGCTCACTCTTCCGACTCTTTCTCTCACATCGCCACAAGAGTCGTCCACGAACTCCGCAGCGACCCAACCCGCACTCTTTGCCAACAAAACGACAACCCTTACCAAACTGACAATGTTGACGCTGCTGATGATTTCGAGTTCTCCTTCGTTTTCAGACACACAGATTCCTCCCCTGTCTCTGCCGATGACATTTTCTACAACGGCCAAATCAGACCTTTTTACCCTTCTTTCCACCAAAACACGGTCGCTCACTCTTCCGTTACTTCCCTTCCTGTTGAAAACTCTCGTCGTCAACGTCTATCTTTGAAGACGCTGATGTTGGAGGAGCGAGAGACTATAAACAACAACGAGCTCGAAGGCCTGGCTGAAGGAACGTATTGCGTGTGGACCCCACCCTGCAAGAAGAAAAGTTCGTCACCCAAGAGGTGGAGGCTTCGAGACCTTGTGTCGCGGAGTAATAGCAGTGACCAGAAGGACTCTCTCCTCTTAGTGGGTCCCGCCAAGAGGACTAGGAAGGTGGTGCCTAAGCATGCCTCCGCTCACAACTGTGGCACCACCGCGAAGTTGGTGGGGTTTTTCACCAACGCGTCGGAGTGATTTTCAAGCTGGTACAAACTAAAGTGGATGACCTGTTTTGTTTTGGTATTTTCTCCTTAATAATTAACATAGTTTATTATTGCGTTAAAGAAGGTTAATGAGTTGAGCTGGCACTGGATAAATGTTTATAGGTGGGGTTAGAGAAAAATGTATGGATGACAAACTTTATAAATAAAGTTAAAATTGCATAACTTGGGACTATTTTCTAACATTTTGCAAAGAAAGTATTAATGAAAAAGCTATTGAGTGAAGAAGTAATCCATGTTTTGGTTGGAAAAGGTAGCTTAGAATAAGGAGGCGGTGGAGGTAACGTTGCAGAAGTTAAAGTTGACAAGAGAGAGTATGATGGAAAGAAACGATGTGGGTCTCACGCGGCATGGAGTTGGGTTATGTGTACATGAAAAAAGTAAAGTGATGTGAAATTGACAACATTGAGTAGTAGGAGAAAGTGTAGTGTTTGTGGATTGATGGACTCATTAGAGTATGCATGGAGTGAATTTAATACATTGGAGGGATCAAGGCTGGATAGAAGGAGAAAAGTAATGATGATATTAAGAGGACTCTGAAATCTCACTTGCCTCCAAATCAAAACCGCGGGGTGATTGATTATTCCACTTTTCACGTCTTCTGTTTTGATTACAGGTTTCACATCAACTTGATTGTCCAATCTGCACAAGAGTGATCTTTTTCCAATATATTATTAAATTCAAAATCAAGGTTGAATATATTGTGGAAGATGAAAGTAGCCCCAAAATGTAAGCATTTTTAATTGGAGGGCATGTAGAAAGATAGTGGCTGTGAGAGAATGTTTAAGGAGGAGGGGAATGGGGAATTAATATTGATACAATCTGCCCCTGTTCTGAAGAAGATAAATCATTAACACGTGCCATTATTAGGAGGCACAATTAGTTTGGTTTGCTTCTCAATTTTAACTTGACCTGAAATAAATAAATAAAACAATCACAAAATGAACTGTGACTCGTTCACCACAGAATAAACTAATATAGGCCACCGAACTATTTCACTAATTTTTTTTTTAATTTATATTTCTTTTAAAAAGATGTTCGATTATATTAATAATTTACATTTCTTTATGCGTTGATTAATATCTTTATTACATAAAATTTATTAATTTTTTTTATTAAATTACTTAATTATAATTAATAGATTAAATATACTATTAAATTAAGATAATTTAAGGAATTAATTTGTTAACTTTAATTTATTTTATAATCTTACTAATATTATAATATAATATATTTTATAATACAATATATTTGTATGTGACAAACATGAACATGCTAAGAAATTGAAATTGTTATACTACCCGCGTTTTACATTTTGGTGTTTATACTATCGGATCAATTACATTTTTTATATTAATAATATATATTATAATAATAATAATATATAATAAATATATATAATTATTTAATGATATATAATATTTTTATTAAAGATTTAATAAGTAGTACAAATCATTATTTAAAATAATATTATATTAGTATAGAATAACATGTACTTATTCTAATATGTAATAACACGAAGGAGACATGCAATAATATAAGTGTAGACATAAGTATGTAAATTTTATGTACAAGTCACAATGGAGACTAATCCATTTGTAATTGTATTAAAAAATATTTTAAAGGTAATTTTTTATTGCATAAATTTTTATATGTTATTTTAAAATTATTTTTTTAATGAACTAATTATCAGTACTTAATTATAGTTTTAACTAATGGTTTATTCTGTTTCTAAGTTATTGTCGATTATTTAGAAAAAAATTGTTTTAATTTATAAAATTTAAGACTATATTAATTTTTTATTAATTATATCACCACTCTTAAAAGTTAAAAAATAATTAAAATAATTTTTATAATACTTTAAATAAATAGTAACTTATTTTTATATTCATCTATTTTTTTATTAATTAATAAAATATATTTAATTAAAAAATTATAACTTATTATACAGTTAATATAATTAAAAATGAAAGAAAATTTAGTAAAATTATAAAATTACAAAATTATAATAACTCTATATATCATATAATGAAAATCCATTTATAAAATAATAATTTTTTGAGTTAAATATATAATAAAATTATCAAAGACATAAAATATTGTTATGGGAAACAAAAATATTTTATAATTTTTTTAAATCATAATTTTATGTAATAAAATTTTTAAAATTATTTTAATAAAATAAAAACAAATACTTAAAGTCGTCACGTTTTTCTTATTTGAAAAAAAAGAAAAAAGAATGATAAAATAATTAAGGTATTATTGAAAAATTATGATAAATTATAAAAAATAATATTTTTATCAATTTATGTATATATACCACAAGTATTTAAAGTATATCTTTTTGTTAGTTTTTTCTTTTTATTATTTTATTTTTGTTCCCTTACTCTCAGTTCCTCGTAAATGTATTACTCGAGTCATTTTCACATGCCTCTTAATTAATGCTTTGAATTGACTCAAGTCAATGGCACTCCATTTAAGATTTCTCCTATCCGGTTGGCTGGAACAAAGGATCCATTGGACAGAGGAACTTTAGATGATTCCATTACCAACATCCTTAACCCTTTCACCAGGACCAGGACTTACAAGTTACAATTAATTTTGGTCGTAGAGAATTTGTAACAACCTTTTTTGATTTGTGTCGTTAGATTTTCTGAGCCATGATTTTTTTTTTCCTCTTAATAATAGGTCTGATTTTTCTTCAACACACTATTTCCTGTATTTCTAAATAACTGATATATTATTTTAAAAATATTTATAAACATACATGTTTATAATATATTAATTAATTTTTATTAATTATATTTATTATTAAAAAAATAAATCAAGAGAAATGATTAAAAATAACAAGAATATTTATAAAAAATATTAATAAATTTATTAAAATAATAAAATTGATGGTTATTTTAATCTGTAAAATAAGTGTAAGTGGTAATATGTTTTTAAGTGAATTACATTATTCATCATTAAGATTTTAATTAGTAAGATACTGCAATAATATCTTTGGTGAAAAAAAGTCAATGACAAATGTAAATAACCATTTGAATTAACCAAAAAAAAAAAAAAATATATATATATATATATATATATATATATATATATATATATATATATATATGACCCTCGCTGAAAAATCTAGTAAAAACTTGACTAAGATTTCAGTGATTAAAAAAAAAGTTAAAGCATAGTTTTAGATGTGCATATAAAATTTAATAGAGAAAGTAAAAGATGAAAAATAATTATATATGATATTGCTAATGATATTTTTATATTAAATGACAAAATATATGAACATTTTTTTTTTTGCGAAATATAATATGCTATTGGAGTCAAATTATTTAGTCTAATTACGCGTTTAAATCTGCACATGTCACCGAATATTTTAGTTGAATAATTTTTTTTATATAAAAATTAATAAATATATATTTTAGACTTTGTAGAAGGGTACATGTGTTTGATTTAAATTTTGTATTTTTTTTAATTTCTCTAACATTGATTTTTTATTTTTAATTATTATTATATAGTATTTGGTATATGTTAAACGAAAATTTAAGTGAATATTTCAAATTATATCTCCTAATGTGATAGGATGATTTATCTTAAATAGACGGTAAGAATTAAAATTATTTTATTTCAAATTTTAGAAGATGAAAAATAATAATAAAATATTTATAAAGATGAAAGCTAAAACTTATACATATTAATAGAATTAAAACAATTATTTCAAATAATAAAAAACAAAGTTTTTTTTTACATATACTAAAAATTCTTCATAATGTATATTAGGTAAACTTCTTATAAAATACTTGTGACAGAATAAAAAAAGAAATTAATTATTATTATCTATAAATTAAAATGAACTCGTGTTGTTAAAATAAACTTTTAAGAAGTGAAAACAAAACATTTCCATGTGAAAATGAATTTACACAAGTTGATTTTAATTTATAGGAGAAAAATAATTTATTTAATTTTTTTATTAACTTTTATGAATTTCTGTTAGTAAAATTTGGATCCTTTGATGGGTCAACTTTTTATGTCTACCTATATTAATTTTGATAACACTCATTTAATTCTATTAATAATTACAAAAAAGATAAATACAAAATTCTATTTGATTGCGTCATGTAAAATTTGAATATGAAAAAGTCATGGGTACCAACTTCCTAGGCTACTATGGTTGACTATTCAAAGACATGTTTTTCAATGAAAATAGGACCAAACTATAAGAGGAATTGAAAAGTGTTAAACCACCAAAATTCCGTAAAGAAAAACCTTTTTTTATTTTTCAATCTGGGGATGCATCATTCTACATTGCATAAAATAGTTCAATGCCCAAACATCCCCCGTCTGACCCTTCTCATGCAAGAATAGGGGTCAAGCTGGAAGAGTCTTGCAAACTAGCAGCATATTTCCGTGCCCACAGGTCATAGTGAATAATTTCCTCCAGGGAAGGCGATGACAGCAATTCACTTTGATGCTTCTCACATGTTAGCTCCACCACTTTGAATATATCCAAATAACTAATCCTGGAAACAGCAAAATAGCCAAGTTGAGGACAAATTACACAAGGACACTTCTCAAAGTAACATGAAGAAGAAACAAAGTAACTGAAAATCTTACTTTTCATCAATAAACATCTCTACAGCTTTCTCATTTGCTGCACTAAGAACTCCTGTCATTGTTCCTCCAGCACGCCCAGCAGCATAGGCAAGATTCATGGATGGGTACTTTACATTATCTGGACTTTTAAATGTAAGTGAACCAAGCCTACATTATCACATTTCAAATACAACTATGTCAGACAATCTAAGAACAAATATTAACAATTCCAATTTAATTAACTGATTCATCTTACATAATAACGTCTAGTGATATAGTAAAGAACACTTATAGTGCATAGGAACACATTTTAAGCATTGCTCTGGATGCTGCCTGAGAATGAATCCATATCAATAACCAAAATTCACCCAACTAAGATTTCCTTCAAAATATTTACTATTTACAGCATAACGTACATGTTTGGGAAAGAATACTTTCCTGGAAATATTCACTTAATTTTTCAAAAGCTCTCTCAGGAAGCTGGCAAAAATAGGTTATTGTTTTTTCAAAATATGTTGAACCAAACTCCATCTTTCAGATTCCAAGGAAAACATGAAGAATAAAATATACTTCCTAGCTAAAAGCTTGGTGAGGAGCCAAAATGGAAACAAAAATTAAATGATCCGATCATTCAAAAGCTGAACCATCAATAATTCAAATTGGACTGAAAAACTTTCTTTTAAGAATAAAAGGCTTCAAAATTTGAAAACTGTAAGTCAACTGGATATGTCTATTTGCTTTTGGTATGGACGGAAAATTAATTTGATTGAGTGGAAATTAGTAAGAGAGAGGGAAAAATTATAGTACTTGCACAGATCAAGGCGTGGCCAAGTGACTTCAGAACAATAAACCCTCTCGGGCCATGATAACGTATAGAGGATCGGCAGCCGCATATCAGGCCACCCCAGCTGTGCAAGAACAGATGAATCCTGGCATCAAGAAATAGCTTAGTATTATATAATGATTAAAAATTGTTTAATGATCTTTTTCTCCTTTCTTCTATACCCTTTTATATACTATACACAAGTTTACTCCCACCCATATGTTAATTTAGCAAATGCCAGATATATGGATATTGAAACATGGTAACACACATAAAATAGAATGCGGTTATGACCTGTGTTTCAATCATTGAATGTATGATTGATTGCGGATGAATAACAATCTCAATATGATCATAATCAGCTCCGAACAAGTAATGTGCTTCAATTACTTCTAGACCCTGCCAAAAAGTACAAAATATTTAACTCATAACTAGGAAATTCATACCACATAATCAAACACATTTATAAAAAGGCTCTTTTCATCCAATATGTTGACATAAAAAAAGAAACAAACCTTATTAAAAAGTGTAGCAGAGTCCACAGTTATCTTTTTCCCCATATTCCAGTTGGGATGTTTTAATGCATCAGCTACTTTAACATCTTTCAGTTTATCAACTGGCAAATCCCTGCCAATCACCGAGGGGATGATACATACAGTCAAATTGATATATAGAGCCCGGAAACAGAACTAAGAGAGCAACAATTCAAGGTTTTTCATGATCAAAGAATACTGAATCGACAGACAATAGCACAAGGCATTCAGATATGCATAGCAATGCTTATGGTGCTCCACTTATTATCTTTTACTTTCCTTCCAGTGAAAAACATTAGATGTTTCCAACCTAAAAAGAAAACATGGTACCACTGAACATGCAAAACAGCCAAATGATGTCATATACACACCTGAAAGCACCTCCAGATGCAGTTAGAATAATGCGCCTAAGTGCACCCTCTGGCAACCCCTGAATACACTGGAGCAAAGAATCCCTTAAGATTTTGCAGTAAAAAGTCGAGCATATAATAAAATAATTGCTTGCAGTCAATAAGAAAGATGGAGAGAATATATAAATAATGAATAATATGAGAATGTCTATTGATCTTGTTGCACACATAATTTTTAATAGATTATACGCTTAGTTACCTGAAAAATGGCAGAATGTTCTGAATCAGCTGGAAGTATTTTTACATTATGCTTCTGAGCAAGAGGAAGAACAAAAGGACCTCCTGCAATTAATGTCTCTTTGTTGGCCAAAGCTATGTCTTTCCCTGCTTCTATCGCAGCAACTGTTGGCTAATAAAAGAATGAGAGGATTTCAGCTTTCTAATATCTGTTGTCTGACAAATGACAACCAACAATACCATCTTTAGTAAGAATCTTTTCTGTTTTCTTGTAGTTCCATTCTACCTTCATTATATATAGAATGATAACATTCATGGATCCTTCTCCATTCAAAGAATCAATGCCGTAATATGAAATTAATAAGCATGCTCCACTATTTTCCAGGTAACTGAATAAGGCTTGATTATTGATGTCTCACAAAGTTAATATTAATAGATATGTAGATATGTGCCCACAGAAGACTCATTACATTACATGGCACACAACAAAGAGACTGTTTACCAAGATAAGACAAAAATAGGTAAAAGAGGTTTACCTTCAGTCCTGCACATCCTACTATTCCTGTGACTACACTGACTGCATCTGGGTGACGAGCAACCTGATCAAATATAAGCTATAGCTCATGAAAAACAAAGATGGCTCAACAGAATTACCACATATGAATAAAGCGGACATTCACCTCAATGATTCCCTGCTCTCCAGGGATGATCTCAGGTTTCCGTTCAACATCATGCAAGGCCTCTTCAAGTTCAGCAATTAGGGACTCATTTCTAACAGAAACAAGTTGAGGCTTAAATGTTTTTATCTGCACAACATAAATATTAAAAGAGATTATTCTCCCTTTTCTCTGGTTTTTATATTGAAAATATTAAATGCTCTAAATGATGGTGAGCCTTGGCACAACAGTAAGGTTTCCTTGTTAACATGGAGGGTCGAGGACTCTGATCCTAGAACAACCTCTGTACCTGTGGGGTAAGACTGCATATCTGCTCTCTTCAAATCCCACTAGGAGGGAGATTAGGTTACCCTTTCATGAGATACATTCTCACCTTCCTTAGACCATAGAAATTAATTTAGTTTTAATTTTTTTATTTGTTTTAATTTTTATGATATGAAACCATTGGTCCCCTCCACAAATGCAAAAGAACAACATGCCTAATACACCTGAATTATTTGAGAGCATAACCAGGAAGATCATTCTCATTGAAAACTAATGTGACAACAATTACAGTAGTAAATCAGCCATGTGAGTAAAATGATCAATTAAATCCACTGAGCTTGTGAAATTTCAGATTTAAAACTGGTAACAGATAGATAATTAATCCACAGATCCATTACATGCTGGTAGTGAAGTGGTTACCTGGTCTGCAAGAAGAGTAACATTTGAACCAGCTGCAAGGGCCACAACTTTGAACTTTTCTGGATTCTCTGCCACAATATCAAGTGTCTACAAAAGCATACAGCGAAAAAGATGCATTAAATAAAAGAATATTAGACAAATGCAATTTAAGGTAGATCTACAAGGGGTAAACATCAAGTATTCCTAGTCATACATCCATCTATCTATGACACCCCCAAAAGTCATATATTTATTTGTCAGATTTATGAGAGTACAGAAACACTAAAAAAAATCAAATTATTTCCAACAAATATTTGCAATCAAACAGCATCTTGCAGGTCCAGCCGACAGCAGCTTTAGATTGTATTCTAAAATTTAGTTTTCATTCTTAACTGTAAGTATGAGAGCAAGACTGTGCCATAAGATTAGTACCCGGGTAAATGTAAGCGCAGTCATCTTGTACACATTATCAGAAAATATTATTCAGTCCTTACTCTCCCTTTCCAAGTAAGTATCAGAACTTGTCCCATATTGAATACACAGACAGTTCTACAAGCTTCACAACCCAGATTTTCAATCTTGGGAGTGGGGGATTTTTTATTTTTTATTATTATTATCATTGTTATTATTTTATAAAATCATGAGAGGATCATGCAAAGCTCATGAAAGTACAAAAAATAGAAAAACAAAATACAAAAGAACAAAACATACCAACTATACAACCAAAATCAATCCACACGGATCACCTACGTAATGCATCCACACTTTCTCTTTCGCAAATCACCATCCAATCCCCTCTCTTTAAGCTAGTTTTTTATCCGCATGTTCGTAATAGATTATTATTAGCCATTGATTCTAATACTACCTACAGATTATGATGTTAGAGGAAGATTTCATTTGCATCAATACCTGCGTTCCAATAGAACCAGTAGATCCCACTATAGAAATGGGTTTTGGACCCTCCCAAGTCTTGCCAACTTGGTCTGGAACCGCTCGTCCCGGCCAGGCTGGTGGTGGCGGTGCCTGCAGTGAGCAATTAACTCGCCTTCCGCACTCTTTTCTTTTAAAAGCAAAACCTCCTGATAATCAAATTCAAAGGATCATCAAAGTCAAACTTTCCATGCTCCATGCAATTGACATCAAAACATAACACAGCAAACAAATATTGCCTTTCCACAAAACAAAACAAAACAATATTGCCTTTCCACAAAACAAAACTTCATAGAACACATAATCGTAACACCAACAAAGTAGCCCATAACATGATAGGATCATAACATAGCACAATTTCTGCAAAGTATAAAAAAAAAATCCAATGGGAAGGGGGTTTCTGTATAAAGTCGTCAACTTTGACATTCCCAGATGAGACGAGGAAGGAGGCATAGCGAAAATGAATGGAGGAAGAGAAGAAGAACCTGGAAATTTTGCTGTAAGGCAATTAGGCTTGAAGGAATCAGAGAAAAAAAGGGACTTGACTTCAGCTGGAGAAGAGATATTGAGCGCCATCACATAAACCCAGTGGAGTTTGTAGAAGAAAGAATTGAAATCTGCAGTACAAGAATGGTGGCAGCAGAAGGAGGTTGTTGTGTGGTGCCTGAAATGGCTAAGTTTTTTATAATTATACTGAAAGACAACAGTGGATGTGGTCTCTGACAAATAAGAGATGCATTTTTATTTTTATTTTTCAATTATTACTATTTATTTATCATAATTAATTATATGTGGAAAGAGAAAATGAAGGGAGAGTGCAATAGGAATTTAATTTTAAGAAGAAGAAAGGAGGAGGAATGTACAAAGCATGTGAATCACCACTCGCTAACACTGCTCAAACTCTTTTTATTGTCAAATAAATTTATATACATCTCCGATAAAATAATTATACATAGCGCCATTTATATTAATCAAATTCTATTAAATCTCTGTAAGAAAAATTCTATCAAATCTCTATAGGGATTTTTTTACTCACAGTTTTTTTTTCTTTTTCTATTAAGTGTACACTGGTATATGAATTAATGTTTTATTTATTTCACATTAAAGAGAGTTATTCATTCGTAAAAGTATTTAATGAGAATCAATTAATATATTTTATTTATTTCTTTATGTTGTTGTTTAAAAATTAAGCATTACTTTCGCTTAATATTTATTAGTGTTTATCCTTTTGAAATTATTAATTTTCCAAATTATAATTAATCATTTTCTCATCTATGAGTATATTTCGTTCCTCTTATTTTGAAGATCGGATTTTTGGATAAAACATTTGTTTTTTAATTTATTTTTTATTTAGAAATTCAATCTTATATTAATTATTAATTTATTAAATATATTTTTATGTATTTTTAAAAATAGAGAAATTAGTAAAATAAAAAATTATATAACCATTTTATGAAAATAAAAAACACAACATTTATTAATTATTAATTATTAAGTATTATTAAAAATAAACAGAAATAGTATAATAAAGAATTGAAATAATTAATGAGACATTACTAAGGATATTTTAATTCAGTAAACGTTATATTTCTTAAATACTTTTTAATGATTGGACAATTATAAAAAAGAAAAAAAAGTATTTTAACTTTAAATATCTTTAAATATTTATATACTTTTATTTCTTACTTCATCCGGTCTGTATTATTAGAAAAGTAATTAATTTAACTCATTTAATGATTTTGAACTCTTTTCTATTCATCTTTCATTTTTATTATTATTAATTATCATTGAATAAATAATAATAACAACACATAAATCATAACTGTAATCTAGATATATAAAGAAAATTAAAACAATTATTAAATGTGTTATATTAAAGTAAAAATTATGCCTTATAATAAATATGAAAGGGGTATAAAAAAAGTACCAATAAAGTTTTGTTTGGAACTTTGAATAAAGAATGATGATAAATACGAAGGTAAGAGTTGTGGTAGAAGTCAAAGTATTAAAACATGAAAATTAAAAGTGAAAAAATAAGTTATGTTTTGAGAGAGAAGTGGAAAGAGGATGTTATTGGAAAGGGATTTGTTTTGTATATCCTGACGTGACGCGAAGACTGACATAAACACGTGCTTCTCTCTCTTCACGAGACTGCTTCAATCTACGAATTATATTTTTTTATTTTTATTCTGCCAAGTTGTTTGGATTTTATAAAATATTGCTACAGAAATTATTGAGATTCAATTTCGATAATAATGCAGCTCACACACAGTACTCTCTTTTCTCTTGCACGTTTTAAATTCCATTTTCTAAGCTCTTCGTTTATATTCAACATTCTAAAAGTTTAAGGATAATTTAGTTTATAAAATATATTCAAACAAAGATTTGTAAATATATTATTGTTATTATTATACTTTAAAACTAAAATAATTTCTGATTAATTGACTACCTAAACAATGATTTTCTCCCAAAACAAAACACAAAGTTGTTTTTATTCATAAAAGGTGACATCCTCTATTTTTAAGCAAAACTAAAATTTCAGAGGAACATCCTTTTACCCAGGAATATATATGTAAACCAATTTCTGTCTATTAAATGGATTTTTTTTTACATATAATTTTATAATTTAAATCTAATAATATATTTTCATAATTCAAATAAATTTTAAAATATATTTTCTTATCTGTTTATGTTTTACACAAACATAAATTTAAAAAAATTTATGTGTATAATATAGCTTTTAATGTATTATGTTTAATGAGTTTTGAGTATTAAGTTGTATGAATATAATAATATCAATTATATAGAATATAAAGAATAATTAAGAAACAATAAGCCGCTCACTTTATTATATTATAATGAAAACAGGATAAATATTGAGTAAATACCAGCAACGACACCGTTGTGTTAAACGTTCAAAGTTCAAACATATTACTTCTAGTCAAATGGTTTGCTATAAAAATTGAAAAATTGTACGTCAAACTGGTCTCGAATTCAAACTAATACAATATAATAAAAAGAAATTAAAGTTAAATTCAAACACAAACATTTGACTTCGATTTGGGATATTATTGTACGCACTGCTTTTTTCTAAATGAAATGAGATCTATACGTAATGAACCTTTCCTTTTCAAAGCCATTACTGCGTTATCTTCCACAGTGATTTTGCATTACAATTTAACTTTTTGAAGGTTAAAATCACGAACCACATAATAATATAAATAATAAACACACCCTTATTTACCGACTTTAAAAATATGTAAACTTGAGAAAATGTGATATTTAGAATCAGTATTTACTGTGAAGGTGAAATTGTAGACATGGAAGTTAACGATGGAGTAAATTCAATTAAGAATGAAGAAGATGCTTCAAGTTCCTAGTTCGGCATTGTTGACTCCAACCGCAGACGCACTGGGCTTTTAATTTTAATATTATTTTTTCATCCTTATTTTCTGTGTCTTACGATGCTACTTGCTCACAAATGGTCAAAATTTCCGAATTTATAATAAATGAAGGAACTCAAAGTAAATTATAATTAATGAATTTTAGCGTGGAAAGCATATTCTTGATGTATCATCAGTTACATGCTACAAGGAACAAAATAAAAGAGGAAACTCACTAGTATTCTGATCTCTCTTGGTGATTTCGATTTTTACAATTCTAGCTTTACTGTTCAAGAGAAACTTTCTTTCGAGAATATATATATTAAAATTTTGAAAAAGGTTTGGTTATTTGATTTAAAAACTATTGGATTTAATTTTAAATGATATCAAATGATTCAAATTTAGCAACGTGGAAGTGGAGCATAGTATTCCACCGGTGATGGCTGGCTATGATAATCCATGTACAAGAATTGTTGCATAGTAAAGTTACAAATACTGTTTTAATATTATTTATTTAAATTAAATACTAAGAAATTTTTATATGATTTTAAATAAGAGAAAAAATATTATATTATTATTTTAATTTAAATAATTACATCGTCATATATTAAAAACATATACATACACAAAAATTTATAAAAATTCTCGTAATAAAATATTAAAATCAAATTGAAATCAAATATATGATTAAAAGGTTTCAAAAATTTGTGAACCAAAAACATTAACGAAGATTATTGTGATCTATTGTTACACGAGAAAATAGCGATAATTAGTTTTTTTTTTACATAATAAAATTTAATTTTCTTAATTATAACATAATATTTTAATTTATTTTTGAGATATTTCTTTTATTATTATTTCGTTGTAAGTACATTTTTTTTATCTCAAATAATTCAAATTTTTGTTTAATCAAGAAATAAATATCTAAAAGTGTAAAATCAAATAATGATCCGATAGAAACTTGATACTAATGAAGTGATTATAAATCTAGTTAGAGTATACTTTGGTACTGTATTAATAAATCTAGTTAAAAAATATATATAAAATAAAATATATTTTATAAATATATGTTATAAATTAGTAATATATCCAATCATTATCTAATATTTTTAGGATTTTATCATACTCAAAACTCTAAAGTCATATAATTTTAATAGAAAAAGTGATTTTATTATTCGTTGACCACAATTACTGGAGAGATCTATACATGAGAATAAGATCTAATAATAAAAGCAAATCTGAATAATCGATGCGAAATCTTCATTTAAAATATTAAACAGGTATGAGCAAAATGAATCCAGACACATGTTAGCTCCACCACTTTAAATGAATCCAGACACATGCCGCATGAAGCATGCGACAAGGATACTCAAAAGAACACTGTCAGAATAGCATGACAGAATCTGGAACTATAGATACAGAATAAACAAAGAAATATGACCACGTTATGCATAAATTCAAAACAGTTCTGTTGAAGTAGTAAAAATCATTTAGCTTCTAAAAAAATTAGTTTTAGTTTATGGATAAACAATAATTTCAGTTTTTAACATGGGAGACGCTCGTATCTGAACAAATCCTTAGTATTCCTTCACAATTTTATTATTAACAGTACTAATATACATGTTTGAGAAGATTAATTTCCTGAAAACAGACAAAAATTACTTGAAGTTTTTAAAACATGTACTAAACATGGTTGAGAAATTATACTATATCTTCTCTAACCAAAAACAGTTATGAAGAATATAAAATATTTCCAGCTGCAGCTTGGTGAGGAGCCAAAACGGAAAGCAAAGATAAAATGATCTGACCATTAAAAAATAGAACCATTGACCATTCAAATTTGACTTGGTAAAATTTCATTCAACAATAATGGCTTCAAATTTTGAAAATTCTATATAACTTGATAAAATTTCATTCGACAATTAAGGCTTCAAGCAAGTAGTGTGCTTGAATTATTATATATAGAAGCTGTGTAAATTAGTAGAAATTTATCTTAAATCTTGGAAATTCATACCACATAACTCAAGAGATAGATAATAAGGCTCTTTCAATCCACTATTGACTTGAAAAATAGAAAAAAAAAAAAAAAAGGTTTTTTTTCCATACAACATTTGGGATATTTTATGCATTAAAAAATTTAACACCTCTTTCAGTTTATCAACTGTTGAATCCCTGTGAATCACCACGGGGATGATACTTATAGTCGAGCTCATTATATAGAGCCTTGGAACAGATGTAAGAGAGCAAAATTTCAAGGTTTCCCATGATCAAAGAATATTGATTCAACAGAGGACAGCAACCAGAAATTCAGATATACATGGGAAAATTTTTAGTGATACTCTACATATACCCTTTCAGATCTTCCATTCCGAGAAAGTAAATGTTTCCAACATAAAAGAAAACACATGAAATGGTATATATGAGGTTCACACTTGAAAGCACCTTCAGATGCAGTTAAAATAATTCGCCCAAGTGCATCCTCTGGTAGCCCCACGATACATTGCAGTTACTAACAATTGGGACGGATGATAAAATATGTGGATAATAAATAACATGAGCTCGTTTATTGATCTTGTTGCACACAACTTTTAAGAGTTTTGGTTTCTTAACTGAAAAATGGGCAATGTTCTGAAGCAGTCGAAATATTTTTTGCGTTATGCTTCTGAACAAGAGGAAGAACAAAAGGACCTCCAGTAATCAATATCTCTTTGTTGGCCAAAGCTGTTTTTCCCTGATTCTATGTAGATTTTGGCATATGTTGTTTCAGAAAGTCAATGGAAAGATGAGTGATGTACATCCCCGTAAGAGAGAAAATGATATATTTTGTGACTTGATGACCTTAAATTGAATGATATGTTTCAGTAGTCCTTTAAATTGATTGGAAGATGAATTTTGTAGTCATAATCGAAAAATGATACATTATTTGAGGTCTCATGTCCCTAAATTGCATTGGATGTTTTGATTTGTACGTTGATATGATTTCAAGATGAATTGTGTATTTGTCATGGTTATGGTATATTTTGTGACTTAATGACCCTTAATTGAATTAAATTGCAGTTATTCCATAATATGGTTGAAAAATGATTTGATACTTTATGTCTAATCATATTAATAAAATGGTATGATTTGTATTCCTTGTCATAGTAAAAATGTATGCTTGAGTTGTCCCTTATTATGATAGCAAAATAAATTATAATTTATCATCATTAAACAAAGATAGTATAGTAACCATAGATTGAGTTATATTCCCAAATTGCTTCTTGATATAGTTGGAATTGATAAGGTACATTTTGATTATCTTTTAATTAATACACATAGGATAAATTATGTATTAATCATCGGGAAAAAAGTAGGTACATTCTCCTTGTTAAATGAACCTAAATCGAAATATATGCTTTAGTTGTCTCTTCAACAGCTTGGGAGATGCAAGTGGTTCACTGATTTTACGGTACTGCATGAATATTGCTATGCCGCGGCTCACAAATTTCCCACTAAAAATGCAGTTCATGGAAATAAAATTCTTACAAGTGATAACAAACTATTTAAGATCCTAAGCTGAAGACACATTTTCTTTGCTCATTTGATCATCTTCAGATTGTTCCTTTTGCATTGCCACTAGTTTGCTGAAGAGTTGCTTCGCTGCATTCAAGTAGAATGCTTGTGTTTTAGACACTTTAATTTCTAAATATTACAATACATGATGATATACTATCATATTTCGTACCAGTATTTTTCAAGTGGGAAGCTGACAGCATCCATAATTGTAGACAACATTATACTTGCATAGACAGACACGTGAATTTGCATCTTGTATTGATGTCCAGTTCAAATTACAAATATATATATGATTAAGAAACAAAGATTTTGATAAGATTATTCTGAGTATGGGCTACTTCAAGTGCTGTTTTTCATAATACATCATGATTGACCTTCATTGCTCATCATATTTGACTTCATGTTCCTCTTGTATCTCACTAGAGCTGGGAACTGAGCTGACACTGCTGCCCTCTACTGCACCTTCAGATTCCAATGGTTTTGAGACACTATGCACGTCATCAGAGCTGTCAGAAGAATGAGCCACTGACTGATTATCTGGCATCTGTTCCTTTTGGGCAACCGGTTTTGGGCGTCTGATTGCTTCTGCAGCCTCCGGCATAACTATGGGTGGAGGTTGAGGAGGAACCCATACACGTTGAACTGGCTGTTGGACTGGCTGCTGACTGGATGCAGCAGAATAAGGTACTCCATTGGACTCATTTTCGTTGTCAATCTCTCTGATTCTGACATTTTTCCTCTGCCACCAGGGCAATGGCTCGTCCCCATTTACTAGAGACGTATCCTGGGTCTTGGTATTCAAATCTTCACCATTTACTTCAGACTGAAGCATCTGAGTAGACGTGCTTTGCACCTGATCAACCTCCCAAGGCTATACACAGTAAAAGTTGAAGCATAAAATCAGTTCATAAGAAATAATACAACTGATAATGGAATTGCACCAGTAATTTGAGGTTTTCAAACAGTAAATAATTAAAAAATTACCAGAGAATTCAGTTTCTGTAAGTTTGAAATATATTATGATTTAGCAAAACATGAATTAATTTATAGCTAGATCAATGGTGTTTTCCTAGATGGTTCAATTGCAGAACATATCTTGAGAAAGATGGCTAGTAATTAGATTTTAAAACGAGGGAAGCTACCAGGCTGCAGACTGATTTATTGACAGAAAATATTAAAAAGACGACCAAAATAGAGTTCAAAAGTTGAGACTTTTGTCGGTCAGTCAAATAAAAAATTTCATTAACCTAAACTATTTAGAAAATGCAAAGCACTTTGTAATAAACCTTGGATATAGGCATTAAGCGTGGATTTGATGGTTGTTGACTAGGGTTGGGGGGTAAATCATTGATATCCTGCATGAAAACCCAGTGTTTTACAAAAGTAACAGTAGTAGCCACATAAAAACTTGAAAATCCAGTATAGAAGAGTAGAGAAATGGATCCTCTCACGTCAAATTCTAATATGACAAAGTCATGTTTAAATATTTTGGTACTATTGTAGGATGTTCAAATCCAATGTCTATCCCTCTAATGATAGACATTGAATAGCCTCGAGAGAAATAAAAACAATTTAAACATAACTTGTCGTGTACATGAAAGGGCCCACTCCCTCGGAAGAGTCATCTTATTTGCACACCATAATCTTCTCCAAATTAACACAACTCCTTTACATGTCAAACTTTAAAGTCAATCAATCTTTTTTTATAAATTTGTATTGATGGTGCACGACGTGTATAATTTATTAAGCAACTAATTGTGCCTAAGATTAAAAGGAATGAAGGTATACTCTAATATTGGAAGGCTTCTCTCCTCTTTGAACCATGGCCATTATCTGCAAGAAAAAATTGTAAAGCTTAACAAAATCTTAAAATCACAAATAAACGCTCTATATCCATTCCATCAGACACGCAGAAACTACAAACAAATCATTAACTACTAGTAAGCAGTTGTCAAAACTAAGGCAGTGAACGCTTTCATATGTATACTTGTATACTATACGAGCTGCTATACACGAGATTTTCCAAATCTTTACGTCCTTGTCCATATGACAGACAACAAAAGCAATCATTTTGAGGGAATGTCCTTTCAGAAGGCGACGCATTTATTAGAGCCAGAAAAAATACATAGTTTCTTAAAAGACTGAATTAGCCCATTCAACCAGTTGGGGTTCTCACCAGAACATTGTTTATAATTGTATCTATTCAAGGTTTTCGGCATTGCGGAGCACTACACAAATCCTTAGGATGTTATGAGATAGGAACTGGAAATTATAGAAATATATATTGAGGACTAGCTCCATTACTCAGAGGTAGACCTCTGTTAACAATGCTCAGAAAAAATGCAGAAAAAGAAAATAATACTAATGGGTCCCTGATGCAAAGAGAATTTCCCTACCTAAACCTATCTAAAACCTCTCAATTCATGCCTTACTCTTCTTCACTCTCCTCACAAACCATTCTCTCTCCAATCTCATCATGCCAGCTATCCTGAATATTTACAAACTTGTTCTCTAACTCCAGCAGTGACAATTCCTCTATAACTCCAACCTTGTTACTCCTCTGAACACAAGCAACCCAGCCTGCTAATTCAGCAAATTTGATAGCATCACATGTTTCTTCCTCCTAGCATCAGTATCATATTTGCTTCTTAATGAGCATTGGCAAAAAGTTAAATTCCATAATTTGGACCACAGGCAAAATTGCATTACAACTAAAATCAATGTTTGAACAATTGGTAACTTCGGACCCTATATAATGACAGCCTCACAATGTTATTTTACCAACAGATTAGCAGAGAAAGATATCATCAGCTAGGAATACTAAGTTTGGGGCTTATCGCGATCTGATGATGAACAATAATAACAAATTTAAGTCATGTTTCTCTTCCCACACAGAGCATCTAAATATTCTAAATAAAATCAGATGTGTACACTAAATTAGCAGTGCTAACTAGATCACTTTCAGTGGCTATAATAGAAAAGCTATAGCCATGTCCCAAAGTATTTAACGCCTAAACGTTATATTTTGATTACTATACAAGTGATCGAGAAAACACACCCACATTGAAAAATTATAAGCAATCAGATATGACCCATAAAAAATAGGCAAAGTAGTGGATGGAAAAACAAGATAATTAATACCTCCATATATGACTTTGGGTGAAGACCACTTGATGGTTCAACAGATGCAGGTGGGGATGAAGATCTCACTGCACATGATATTATAATGATAGGTAAATAGTTCAGAAGACAAAACTAATTTAACTAAGACTGAATTATTAATATGACAACCTGAACGCAAGTCATAGTCCACTTTGCCATTCACAATCAGTTGCTGCAAATATATAAAAAAGTTGCAGTCATCAAAATTCAAAATTTTATTTAAGACAACTTAAATGAGGATCAGCAGTGCCAAAATTCACTAAAGATTCTGAGACAGTCCCCGTGTAAGTCTATTTATATCTGACCTTTGAACTTGATTGACTGATTCGAAGATCTTCTTGCCCTGAAACAGAAACTATGTTAGAAGTTATGTTGTCCACAGCTTGCCAGAAACAGATATTCAACAAGAACTTTTAAGAAGAAAAATATGAATAATTGTTTAAAAGCCCCAGCATAAATCTGCTAGAATTTGGGCATGATAAGCCATCAATAAGCCTCAAATTGTACAAAAGCTGAATTCAAGGGAATCATAAAGCTAAAATTTAATTAGAATAGTTAAATGAGCATAATATTTGTCAAAGCTCTTGGTCACCATGAGCCACTTTGTTGGCTTTTAAGGGATCGTTCCCTGATTACACAACCACAGCATTCTTTGACAAATTTGCAAGCACTATTGACAAATCATAAAACAATCCCTGTATAAAATGTTCAATGACCATGAGCCATCAATAAGCCTCAAATTGGAAGAAAGCTAAATTAAAGGGAATCATAAAGCTAAAAATTTAATTAGAATAGTTAAAATGTGCATCATATTTGTCAAAGCTCTTGGTCACCATGAGCCACTTTGTTGGCTCTTAAGGGATCGTTCCCTGATTACACAATCACAGCATTCTTTGACAAATTTGCAAGCGCTATAGGCAAATTGTAAATGTTCAATGACCTTCCAATCTTCTTATGGCATTTGTCATTGACTTCATTTCTTGTACTTGTTTGTCTAAAAGGCTAACAACTTCCACAAAGTATCTCCTCTCTGCATATTATAACACCAGATGCAGTAATAACTACAGTCATTTATCATAAATATAAGAAGTAAAAGGAGAGTAGGAGTGTTAAAACAAATCGAAGACATTTATAGCATGCAAATTAAAGTTCTATAACCCACCTTCACCTTTTGAAGCCAGCAGCACTTGGCTTGCTTTTGCTACTTCGGCAGCCGCAGCTGCAGCTGATTTTGCAGCTTGTGCAGCCTCTTCCATCAATGTTGGTTTGTCATCAGTTTTCTTTAATTGTTCATCATCATTGTCAAGGACAACCTTACGTATCCAAGATTTTAACTGAGGGAGAATAGATTTCTAAAACATGGAGCAAGCTTCGGAAGTTATATGTGGACCAACAGCAATGTGATAAAACATGTACACAAAGCAATATATCAAGCACAATATGACAGTAGGTGGTAAGAGTTATACCTTAATTATTATAGCTGTTCCAGCACCTGAAGCAGCCAGTAATCCAACTGCAATAAGGGCATGAGACCAGTGAAATCTGGAGCGCAACAAGGTTCCTGATGAAGTATTAACACCAGTAGAAGCAGGTAAACCCGGCTGCAAAGTTTGTTGTTGAGTTTGTTGCTGACTGTTTGATGATGATTTAAATTGCCCATCTGTTGCCATTACAATGAGCCATGTTCAAAGTGTAACTTAAGTAAGATCTTTCCAGCTTTATTGAAAAACAAGTTCAAAGGAGATTTCACATGCAGTTTGACTCAATACAAAGTTACATAGGAAAACTTCAATATTAACGTTGCACCTTGATTTACACCAGCTGTCTGCACAGTTGGAGCTGAATCCTGTGATTTGAACCAAAGGTAAGGAAATTGATAGACTGATATTCAATTTATCGCCTGTGAAAGAACAATCTAGAATATTTTGGTTGACTTAAAAATCATTTTTAAAAAAACTAGCATACTGGCACACGCCGAAAGGCTTCATCAATCTCCTCCTTTGTAAGGCCCTTCTTCTCTAGAAATGATCGCCTATAGATGACAGGTGAACCTCTAACTTTTGGGTGAGACAAAAATTTCATAGCATTCTGAACTTGTTCTTCCCTCAATGGTTGTGAGTTTACAAATACTGACTGAGTTGAATTCAGTTTGGCGGGCTCTTCTTCTCCGGCATTTTGCTGATCCATGCCTGCTGGTTGCACAACTTCAGAACCTGAATCTCAAAAAGGAGACTCAGAAAATCAATTTTATCATACTCAAAACAATACAATTAAGCTAAAACAAACCACTATCAATCCAATTAAGAATGCAAACATTCAAATTCAATAGCAAACAGTATAATAACCACTAAACCTTTCATACAAGAAAAACAAGCAATCAGATAGAGATGCAATATAAAAATCATTTATGTGTCTTCACCCAAACGGTCTAAGATATTGGTATTGTTGGTTCATGACAGAATCTGTCCAGAAATAAAATTTATTGTTCCGTATCTTCTTACTTAAGCTAGAAATTACTAGTAAATGCACCTAAATGGTGTCTTGCCATGTTAAAGTTTAGGCATATGATCAGATACAATGATCCTATTCAATAGCTGGCTTCAAGGACTCATGAGATTAACCCCCCGTTATTTGCACAATTTTGCATATTACCTGTGTCCTTATAGACATGGATCAAAGTACTTCTTGATTCATCCAGTATGATCTTATAATCATGCAAGATAATCATGTTAAACAACTTTATGATGTTAAACTACTTCTTCTGAAATCCTTCCATAACTCTATCATGTTAAACTACTTTTCCAGTATCCATTCTATGCAATGCTACTTTTACCTCAAATTCCTGTAGTAAAGTCTAAAATTGAAGGTATAATTTTGGAGCTCCTTCTATACATATGCGCTAATAACATTAAAGATGTCCCATTCCACCACAAACTTTAGAGCTATGATCCTATATGCCATAACCCTTTGACATTTACAATGTCATTGTCTAAAACTTACCTACAATTATGCCTACACCATTTTCTAGATTTTACTTTGTTGGTGTACCAAAGTGCTGGGTAATCCAAGTATAAGTCTGAGTTCCACATTGAGTAAAAATGAGAAAGTTGAATCACATATAAGGATAAAAGACCCGTAACCTAATGTCTTAAAGTTTTGGATTCAAGGTGGTGTTAATCTCTTATGTGAGTTGAACTCATGTCTCATTGGTGTTGTCTATCCCGTTATGATGAACGACGGTACATAAAAGGGTCACTAGTGGGCTCAAAGGAATGTACCAATATGAAATAACTCACATTTGAGAAGAAGATTGTTGGATAATCCAAGTGAGTCTGAATCTCAAATTTAGTAAGAATGAAAAAGTTGAACAACATATAAGGAAGAAAGACTCAATGTTGCTCAACATTCTAAGTCTGAGTCCCACATTGAGTAAGAATGAGAGTCATACTTCCTTATATGTTGCTCAATTTTTTCATTCTTACTTAATGTGGGACTTAACTCACACTTGGATACTCAACAATCTCTCCCTCAAGTGAGAGTTCCTCCACATTGGTATATTTCCTTTAACTCATTAGTGGTCCTTTCATGTACCGCTGTTCACTTTAACGGAACATGCTTACCTGACTCACTTTGTCAGGAAGACTTTTGATACAAAGACCACTCTGACCCACTGCCGATCAACATTCGGCTCTGATACCACTTGTTGAGTCTTTCGAAAGGGATTCACCTAGGAGAACAATATCAATGATACATGAGTCCAACTCACATAAAAGATTGACACCACTCTCAACCCAAAACCTTAAGGTGAAAAATTAGGTTATGGGTCATATTTCCTTATATGTTATTCAACTTTCTCATTCTTACTCAATGTAGGACTTAACTCACTTGAATTATCCAACAATAACCAATTCCTTAAGGTTTTGAGTTGAAGGTGGTATCAATCCCTTATGTGAGTTTGACCTATGTCTCATTGGTGCGAGTTTAATTCATGTCTTATTGGTGTCAATTCCTTAAGGTTTTGAGTTGAAGGTGGTGACAATCCCTTTTGTGAGTTTAGCTCATGTCTCATTGGTATTGTCTCTCCCCAATTAATCTCCCTCGAAAGACCCAACACAAAGCTCAAAACAAAAGTGTTTAATTGCTTAACATTTTATCCTACCCACTAGTTTCTTGAAGATACAATTAATGTTTCTCCTAATCATTGTTAACATAGATTCACCTGTTAGTGGCCTGCATTCCAAGTTTAAAAAAAAAATCATACTTTCAAGTACTAACTTATTTTTCACTACAGTTAGATGTCAATGCAACCAGCTCTTGTCCATTTAATACCTACCCAAGCTATGCAAGATTCAAGCACTTTTACAGCACTTTAGCACCCGATACAGAATAACGTAGACTATCAATCATTAATATAAAGACAAAAGAAGTAAGCAGAAAAGTCAATAGTTTGGTTGGAATCACAAATTGATTATTTGGTGGAATTAGGAAAACAATAATAGACAAGTCTAGTAAATAACATGGTAGTATTTTAGAAGTCCCAAAAATTCTGGGGCAAATCAATAGTCCGGTTGGAACCACAATTTGGGAATTCGCTTTATTCATAAGTTATATCTGTGGTTCCGAAAGTTAGAGTAATTCCATTATTCCAATGGTTATAAGCATGGTGTGGGGTGTTAAGTACCAGAAAGCAGAAAATGAAATCAATTTTTATTTTTTCTTTTATTTGTTACATTTGTAATGAATAGCAATAGTAGAGGTATGACTAAGGAGGAGAAGAAAGCAAAAATTTGAATTCAAAGCAAAAGGTAGAATCAACTAAATGATCTAATTTGACTATCAAGTCAAAAGAGAACGAAATGAAAACCTTGGTTTTCGTCGGTGGCAGTGGGAGTGGGAGGCCGGGGCGGCGATTGGGTGGCCATGTTAGCTTCTCTATTGAGTACTTACTCCTGCTTTGGAATTGAAGGGTGAGCGATGATGAAGGTGGTTATTGTGCGAAAGGGAAATAAGAGGATGAACCAAACTATAGTGAAAAGGAGCAGGAAGTGAATGAGTGGATCGGCTGAAGAAAACAAATAGAGTGAAGGGTTTTATGAGCTATTCTCTTCTTCTTCACCAACCATATCCTTAGAACAAAGATAAATAAACAAAATATATATATATATATATATATATATATATATATATATATATATGTATATATATATATTTCTATATAGAAAGTAAAGTGATGTTCAAGTTGTTTTAATAATAAGAAGAAAAAATAAAGATGAAAAGTGCAAATTACTGTGGTTGATTTAAATGGAATGGTGGGTAACATATAAGTTATATATTTTTTAAAATAACTATTAATAAAAATTTTATAAATTAAATTAATTTATATATAATATTTTATAAAAATTTAACATTAAATATTTATATAAGTTACCTACACACTTGATTAAGAAAATCTTTACATACAATTAGACGTCATTTGTTTGTGATTTAGTTTGATTAAATTTTATAAAAAAACAAAAATATTTGAATCAAACATTAAAAAAATTAGATGTGATTGAATTTGGTTTAATTTTAATTTATTTGAATTAAATTAAACTATGTGTATACTTTTCTATATTTTTTAATCAAATTAAATTAATTTTAAAAAATTATATAATATCTTCTTAAAAAATATATTAAAAAATTTATAATAAAATTTTCCATATATATATATATGTTATAAAATATATAATGTATAAATAAATTACATAATACAATAATTAAAATTTATAATTCAAATTTGTTATTATAAATAAAATACAATTAACTTATAAACTCAATCTTTTATATATAAAAATAATTTTTTTATTTTTAATCTAAAAATTAAATTAAATATGTAATTTTAGAATAAATATTCCAAAAATTTAATAAAATTTCAATTTTTATTGATTTGCACAAATTTTCTTTTCAATCAGATGTGATTTTGAATAGAAAGGTACAAGAGTCTCATTCAATAAATTGTGATAGTATTGTATGCAATTAATGTCAACAAGTCATTATATTGTGATAGTACTGTATGCAATTAATTGTAATATTAATTAATAGTAAATAATTCTTCAAAATAGTTTATATTTTTTAATTCTTTATCTTAAAACCTGATTAGTTTAAAATGAAAAAAAATTACAAGATATTGAAGGTATCTTTAAATTATTTTAGTTTATTTAAATTTAAAGATTGAATAGAATTTTTCATACACTATGATTAAATTGATCATTCTACATAAAATAAATATTAAATATGAGAAAAAGAGAGAGTATTAAAGCTTTATTATCATAATTTTTAATTATTAAAAAAAACAAACTATTGATATATATATATATATATGATGCAAATACATTAATAATGCAAAGTTTTAGTTAAAACCAATTAGTATAAAAAACAAGTATTTACATTCATTCATTTATCATTTTTATAATTAAAAGTTATGACTGCTATATCTAAAATTATTTATAATTAGTATATTATTATATAATAGAATGTAATAATTAATTATATATATATATATAATGAAAATTCATTTATTTGAAAAATTAAAATTTTACTATTTATCTTTATCATTTATGTTATTAGACAATAAATTAAAAAATATATATTGCAAATCAAAAATAATTTTTTATTCTTAACTTTTAAGTGACTTTCTCCATTTATTAACATAAATATTTTACAAAAAATTTAAAAAAATCAAAATATATTTAAAAAAATACTTATTTATGTCTCAAAATTCTTTGAGTTAATCCTCCTTCTTCTTATTATTATTATGAAAAAATATGCTAAGTGTTAAATAAGAATGATTACAATTTCAATTATACAACACAATAACCAAGTGCGTTATATAAAAATATTCATGTAATTAAAATTTGTAATCTTATTTCTTTTCAAAATATAGATATGACAGTGTCCATGATTAAAATCATCCCTAATATATGATAAGAACTTCCATATGGTTTTTTCATCACCTAAAACATTTATTTATATGATTTTGATTAACATTAAAAGTTTAGATATCTCATTCATATATTCTACCTTTCAACTCTCATACTACACTTAATTTTAATAGTATTACATCCATGATAAGCATTATTTAGAATAACCATAAAATAATATTATCTCTTGGTAACAATTATTCCATCAACGTTAATATATATTATCTGACACACCCTACTAAGTTTATCATTTTATTCAATACACAATCTCATTATTTCAAATTAAACATTTTCTCATCAGATATCAAAATGATTCAATTACATAATCAATGATTAATCTAGTTAGTTAAAGTGAATTAAAGTATTAAAAATACAAATATATATTAATTATGGTTATGCATATATAAATTAAAGTAAATATATAAAACTTTACTAATATGCATAGTACATTTACAAAATGTTACAAAAGCATTAGTGTCATTATTCTTGTTTTTAAAATAAATAAACATAATATTTTTAAGTTACAATTGGTATGAATCTAATAGTCCTAGTTGTGATGGTATAAAAAAAAGGCCAAAAAACAAATATAACAACTTGACAAAGAGTAATAATGCAGTGGAAATTCAATCCACTTCTTGCGAGAATCGATGAGAGCACGCAAACAAATAGAATCCAAAGCACAAAGAGACGCCAACAATTTTAACGTGGAAAATCCGCTCAATGCAAGGGTAAAAACCACGAGTCGTCCAGACCAAAGAAAAATCCACTATGATCAATAATGGGGTACACAAGAGTCTCCAATAATAATGCAAAAGGTATTTTCGATAAGCGAAATTAACTAAGCGCAAATGCTTACAAAAGAGAAACAAAGAAGATGAAAAATCTCCAAAACGGGGCTGCTGGTGCGGGACCAATTTCTCCCAATCTAGACCTTCGATTGACGATCCGAACGGTCAGAATGAAGAACCATATGTCTGGAACCTACTATCCAAAAATCAGCTCGATCCAACGGTGAACGACTTCACAGCGACGAAAACACCAGTGCAGATTTAGGGTTATGCGGAGATGACTTTCTCTCTTTCTTTTCTCTCATTAGACTTTTTGTCTTTTTTCAAATGACTCTCTTGTCCTCTACTAATCTGACCCATCTCATTTTACCCAAATGAGACATAATGGACCACACTATTTGGGCCTATTCTCCACATAGGAAGGGAGCCCAATAACCCGACAAATCTCCCCTCACGACTATGTGGAGATATCAGCCAAGCCGTGATCTCACAACAAACTTCAAACTTTCCTCTTGGCAATGCCTTGGTCATCATATCAGCACCATTATCATCCGTATGAACTTTAGCTAGTTCCACCAACTTAGCATCCAAAACATCACGTATCCAATGATACCTCACATCAATATGTTTGGATTTAGAATGAAAAGTTGGATTCTTACCAAGATGAATAGTACTTTGACTCGTCACAATACAACAAGTATTTATCTTGCACAAAACCAAGCTCCTGCAAGAATTTCTTCACCCATAACAACTCTTTGCATGCTTCGGTAAGTGCAATGAATTCCGCCTCAGTAGTAGACAACGCCACACACTTTTGCAACTTTGATTGCCAAGCCAAAGCTCCCTCGCAAGCTGAATCAAATAGCACTGAAGTGGACTTTACTGGAATCAATGTCTCCGACCATATCTGAATCTGAGTAACCCACCAAAGTAGGCTTATCACCTCCAAAACAAAGTCTCAAACCTCTAGTACCACGAAGATACCTCAAAATCCATTTCACGACATTCCAATGCTCTCTACCTGGATTTGACAAATCGCTAAGCTGTACCAACGAGTCGTGTGCAATATCGAGGCCTTGTACATACCATTGCATACATCAAACTACCCACCGCAGAAGCATAAGGAACTTTTCTCATAGCTATCTTCTCAACTTCATTTGAAGGACTTTGTTTAACACTCAACTTAAAATGAGTAGCAAGAGGAGTACTTACAACCTTAGCATTCTCCATTTGGAATCTTTGCAACACCTTCGAATGTAGTGCTCTCGTGATAGCCAAAGTTTCTTCTCTTTTCTATCACGAGTGATACTTATACCAAGAATCTTCTTAGCAGCTCCCATGTCTTTCATGGCAAATGACTTGCCCGATTGCTTCTTCAACCTGTCAATTTTGGAAACATCTTTTCCAACAATAAGCATGTCATCAACATATAACAACAGGATAATGAAATCATTCTCAGAAAATTTCTGACAAAAACACAATGGTCGAGAAGTAGTCTTCTTGTAGCCTTGCTCACACATAACGAGACTCAAACTTCTTATACCACTGCCTTGGAGCTTGCTTCAAACCATATAGGCTTTTTCGTAGCCTACACACATAGTCTTCCTTGCCTTCAACAAGAAAACCATCCGGTTGCTTCATGTAAATCTCTTCCTCCAAATCACCATGAAGGAAGGTCGTCTTCACATCCATCTCGCTCAACTTCCAAATCAAGAGTAGCGACTAAACTTAACACAGTTCGGATAGATGTCATCCTCACCACAGGTGAGAAAATCTCATTGAAGTCAACACCCTTTCTTTGTCTAAAGCCTTTCACCACTAATCCGGCTTTATATCGGTAGATGTAGAATTGCTCTCTTGCTTCACCCTGAAGATCCACCTGTTCTCTAAGGCTCTCTTACCCTTAGGCAACTTCACCAAGTCATAAGTGTGATTATCATGCAGCGATTTCATCTCATCCTGCATTGCATCCAACCACTTTTGCTTTTCTTCACTTTCAACGGCCTCCTCATAACATTCGAGGTTCTCCTTCATCGATTCAACATCACATACTCATTGGTAGAGTACTTCTTAGAAGGTTGTCTTGGCCTGTCAGATCTTCTAGGTTGAGTTTCGAGTAGCTCAGGTATATCACCAAGACTCTCATCATGTGATACATCATGTTCCTCTTCATCA